ACCACCTGGCCCTGCAGCAAGCGTGTGAGCTTGGATTCTGTTTGCAGCATGCTGTGCTGAGGATGAGGTTAATGACCTGCCGGGTGGTTTCCTCCCTGAAAATCCATGGCAAGGCTCTGTAAAGCATCCATGAGCTGTGGCAGTTGCCTCCTGCAGCAGCACGGATCAACTGGCACCCAGTGTCCCTGGCTGAGGCAGGTGCAGGATGGATGCTGTTCCACGGATGGAGGCTGGGATGCTCCATTGTAGCTTCAGGTATGACATCGCTTGGTGGCTCTTCTGTCTTTTGTTTGGTGAATTGAAGTTTTTAAGCTGTGTTGGTAATTTCTTAGCTTCTGAAGTCCTGGAAAACAGCTGGGAATGGGAAACTCCCAGTTTTTTTATTGTGCAGGCTTCAAAGTTGGTGCTGGTTTACCTGCCGACAGTGGTTTGTTGCTCTGTCTCATTGGAGGGTTAAAATCCTGGCATGGTTGAGGGGCACCGTTGGCTTGGAAAGTTTTGTTTGAGCTCTGTGGACATGTACTCTAGCTGAGTGCCTTGTCCTCCTCTGATTTTCCTGTTGACATGGCATCGAGTTGGATCATAAGCCCTCAATCCCATCCCTCATCTCCTCTCATCCTGCTACACAGCATCTGTTCACAATGCTAAGCGGGATGCCAGGCACCTTGATCTCCCTGTATGCCCAGCGAAAGAAGTGCCTGGGAGTGGGAATGCACTTCCTCCCTGTCCCTCAGAGAGACAGCAACCAACCCCCCTCCACCAACTGCCTGTCCCGACAGTGGTCATGGTGCTGCTGGAGCCCCTCGGCTTCATGCTGAGGCAGGAATGCCAGGAACTCCGCTGAAATTTGGGGCTCCCCAGCTGAGCCAGAACCTTGGTGGGAGGCGAGGAACGGAGTCTTCCCCTGTCCAGGGAGCAATTAGTCTGCAAGGTGATTTATTAACGTGGAGGAGGATGATCCAGGGGGTCGCATTCCTTCCCTCACCTTGCCTTCCCTGCCTTATCTCCGGGCTGTCTTGGCCCCGGGGACGTGAAGTGATTAGAAGCAGAGACATGGCCCCAGTGGAGGCAGGATGAGGGGGCTACAGCTCACCCCAATCTCACTTTGTGTTTTATGCACTTCCCTTGTGTTTGGGCTGTGCCCAAATATTGATGGTCCCTCTCCACCATCCATTCTCCCCAGGAAACCTCACAGAGTGGCCAAAATCACTCCAGCCTCAATTCTCTGCTGCCTTGTTCCCCTTGACCGTGTGGATGGGGCAGAGTGTGACACCAGCACCTCTTGGCTCTGCCTTGTCCAGCCCTGCTCATTTCAGGAGCAGTTCCTGAGTTCAGGAGCAGGAGGAGAATACAGATAGTGAGAGGGGTCTGGACACTGCCGTCCTTCTTTCCCTCCTGGGGCTATGTGATGGATGGCTCCCTCAGGCAGTCGTGACATTTTCACGGTTTATCTTATCGAGGAATTTTCCGGGAGGATGTTTCTAGCTCTCCATGAGTAAATGTTTAGGAACTCTGCGGTCCCAGTCCCGGGGCTCTGTGGTGTTGCATAGCCAGAGGCAGGGGGGAAACACTGTCCCGGAGGCAGAGCCTGGCAGAGTGGCACCAGTGTCATTTCTGGGGCTGTGCTGGCTGCTGTCACTCCTGCCAGTTCGGCTCCTGTGCATCCATGTCTCCCGCCTCCCCATCTCTCTGGCTGAGTGCCCACCATGGGCTGGGTGCCGCTGCCTCTCCAGGGACTGTCTCGACAGGGGAGGTCAGCGGCTCGGGATGTGGCAACATCCTCAGCCTGCGTCCCCAGGAGGGCCTTTCAGTTGCTGTTTGGGGCTTTTAGATGGGGAACGGATTAGAATCCCAAATGTCAGTAGGGTTTGTAGATATGATCTGCTGCTGACCCTGAATTTTCAGTACCCGTGCTCCCTTTCCAGTCCCTGTCCGGAGCTCTGTGATCTCAGGACTGGGTCCAGCAAAGCGGGGTCTCCTGAGGAAGCGTCCGCGCTCTGCTCAGCCCGAGGCTCCCTCTGCTGTCCGTCCGTCCGTCCGTCCCTCTGCCAGTCCGTCCATCTGCCCGGCGCTTGCCGGGGAATCCTTGGGCTGTGCAGGGGGAATTGATGAGCTGGGCTGGGGCTGTCACCCTGTCCTCTCCCAAAATCCTGCAGAAACGTCGGTGTGCTTTGACCACGGATAAAAGGCTGCAGGCGTGAATCACAGGCTCTTTTTTCCCCCTGCTTTTTATCTATTTTTCCCTATTTTTTTCTTTTTCTTCAGTTCCCTTTCTTCACCTCCTTTTTTCCTTTTTTTCTTTTTGCTTCCATCTCTTTTTCCCTTCCGTTCCCTCCCCCTTCCCCCCTCTTATGTTGTCCCCTTCTCTTTGCCTCCTTCTCTTCCCCTCTTTTTTCTGTTATTTTCTCTGTTCTTTGCCCCTCTTTTCCCCCCTCCTCTTTTTTTCCTCTATTTTGTCCTTTCTCCCCTCTTTTCTCTATCCTTCTGTCTCCTTTCCTACTCTCATTTTCCACTTCTTCCACTTCCCTCCTCGCACTTTCCTTCACTTCCCATTCTTTCCTTGACTTCCCCAGTCTCTTTTTTTCTCTTTTCTCCTTTCCCTCTTTCTCCCTTCTCATTTCCCCCTTCTCTTCTCCCCACTCTCTTTCCCCCTACCCTCTTCCCCCAATCTCTTTTCTTCCATCTCCACTCTTTTCCCCCACCTCTAGTTTTTCCTCTCTTTTCCCTTTTTCCCCACTTTCCCCCCCTCTCTACCCCTCTGGCCCAGGACTGAGCCCTTCTTAGGGCAGCCCAATCCCACTTTTCCTGAGGAACCATGCTGCAGCACCAGATGCCAGTTTTGGGAAGATGCAGCCAGCCTCTTTGGGAGGGAACTGGGACCAGGGTGAGGATCTAGATTTGCTTTTCAAGAAATCCAAAGTTGTGGCACGCTGGCAGCAGCGTCTCATGGAGTGTGCAAAGCGCTTTTTGGGAGCCTTTAGCCCGGAGGAGGCTAAAACAAGGGGATTTCTCTGCTCTGCCAGCAACCAGCTGCCACGGCTTCTTCCTGGGGGAATACTTCTCCAAAATATTTCACCAGCTGGTGCCTTCTCAGTCCCTACCTTGGCTGCTTGGTCAGTGGCAGAGCTGGTTGCACTGGGCTAAGATTCTCTAGTGCAACCTGTGCCACCAGCCCACCCTCAGGGCATCTATTTTGGAAATCCCTTTTTTTGGGGAAGCCCCAGCCCTTTACTCCTTTCCAGGGAGCTGCCAGCGAGGAGGTGTGCAGTGAAATGAAGATCATTGACTTAATGAGAGTGTCCCATGGGACTGCTGCTCCACTCCGTTGCCATGAGCTGCCTAATCCCAGCAGAAGGGAGAAGCGGGAATTTTTCTGGCCGGGCATCCTGTCTGCACACGCTTGGGGTACCCCAGCAGGGTGCTGCTGCTCAAATCCTCCTGGCAGAGACCAGGCAGCTCATGGGGGCATGTGATGCTCCCCACCCTGGGAGCTGCACAGCTCTGGGGTGGGAGAGGCTGCGGGAACACCGAGGTTTTCCATCCCAGCAGTGGGAATGGAAGCAGCAGCCACTCCTATCCCTCTGGGATGTGCCAAGGAGTCCTGCACCGCACCCTGGCCCCAGGGCAGCCGAGCCCAGTCGGGACACGCCAGAGAAGGTTGGCAGACACCTGGCTCCCTCCCCAGGCTGATGGGAGTACAGGAGCTCCAGGAAGGGGCTGTGTGGAAGCTCTGCCATCCCTACAAACCCGTATCCCGTGCGGATTGGCGGGGGGGCTGTTATTCCACAGCAGGCGCCCCTGGCAGCTGCAGCCAGCTCCCATCTTCAGGGGAAAACTCACCCGTTTCGCTTCAAAAATAGTGTGGCAAATGTTGCATGAAGCAAAATGGACATCTGAGCATTTGTCTCAGTGATTTTCCTGTATATTTTTAAACTGGAGAATCAGCTCCGGCATGTGGAGATGTCCACTCTGTAGGACCGTGTTACGGCACACTGTGACTTCCCTGGTCACACAGCCGAGGGGAGCCAAGATTGTCACCTCCCCATCAAAACCGTGTCTCAGGGACACTTCTTGAGCCATGGAATTGACTTGCCTGGTGTCACTATGGTAGTGCAGATCCTGGGAATGCTCCATCTCTGCTTGGCCGTCCCTAGGAGTGAGGGGCACCATCACGAGAGCTGGATAAGTAGATTTGGGGGTAACTTTTTTAAGCTGAGGCAAAGAACAATTGAAATTTTTGGGGTGTGGGAGAGTTCCAGCGCTGCCCAGGGGAGATTTGCATCCCGAGCTCCAGGAAAACTTGTGATTGGGAAACTTGTGATAGCTCGGGAAACTTGTGATTGCTCAGACCCGGCTTCGAGGCGTTGCTGGCGAGTGATGCTTGGGGGGGACGGAAAGCTGCAGTGCCCCCCTAGCCATCCTGCGACAGCACCTGGGAGGTCCTGGCCCTGTAACCGAGCCGGGAAGGCAGCTTTAAACACTTGACTTTGGGGATTTGTTGTGTTTCCAGCCGGTAGAAATATGGGAAATGTTTTCTGGGATTTTTTTTCCCCTCCTCGTTCAGTTTTGCTCTGAGATGATAACCTTTACCCGAGGCCTGAAGTGGGGTGTCCCACCAAGCTGGGCATCCATGAGTCCCATGTCCATGCACGGCTCCACCATGTACACCTCTGGATGCTGCTGATTTAACCAGAGCCACCGAGTGGGGAGAGAAGATTTAGGAATTTTCTGGGCAGGAAGGAGTTAAACATGTGCGAGCAGCTGCTGGGACAGGCAATAAATAGGGTGCGTCTGAAGGCTGGCTTGGCTCCCGGAGGTTTTGGGGGGCTCAGGCGGGTCCCCAGGAGGGCGGCGGGGTCCCCGAGGGGCCGTGCCGGCTGCGGGAGGCTGGCGCTGCGGAGAGGAGGGCTCGGCACCGCCACTCCTCCCCCTGCTCCGCTCCGGTTTGAAGGGTCGAGTGCCGGAGCTGGGGAGGAGAGAGCGATGTGAGTGAGAGTCTGGCCGGGGCAGAACTCCTGCCTCTTCCCTCCTTTCCTTCCTTCAGCCTCTCCGCTCCGCTCTCGGGAGCAGCGGAGCTCGTTTTCCCTTCCCAATGGCCCCACCTCGCTTGGCGTTTCTGCTCCTTCTGGCTTGCTGCTTCTCCTGCTCCGAGCCACAGCTTCTGGACTGGGTTTGGGACAGCACAAAGACCGCAGGAAGCCCAGCAGCACCCGGCAAGGGAATCCCGGCGTCCGAGCCGCCAACCTCAGCAGCAGCTCCGACTCCCAGCCCGTCCACGGTAACGTGGGGTGGCGAGGTGGCAGGGAATGTCACCACCCCAGGGCGGCAGGAGCCAGATCCTGTCACACCAGCGCCTGTGGGTGAGGGAACCACTGCCAAAACCACGGAGCAGTGGGACAGGAGTGCCACAGGGCCGCTGGAGAGCACGACACGGCCAAGCATCGCTCCTGCCCACAGCATGGCACCTGCCGCGGGTCAGCAGGCAGCCAGCAGCCCCAGCAACGAGCCCCAGCTCCTGGGGACAGGGAACATCAAGGACCTGCAGCTCCTGGGCTCAGAGACCTCTAAGGACCCTCCCCCCTTATGGTCAAGGACCACCGAAGACCTTCAGCTCCTGGGGACAGGGACCACTGAGCACCTGCAGCTCCTGAGGATGAGGACCACCAAAGAACCCCAGTTCCTGGGATCAGTGACCCCCAAGGAGCTCCTGGGGTCAGGGACTACTGAGGACCTGCAGCTGCTGGGGTTGGGCACCACTGAGGACCCACAGCTCCTAGGGATGATGAGTGCCAGAGACCTGCAGCTCCTGGTGACAGGGCACACCGAGGACCCACAGCTCCTAAGGACAGGGACCACCGAGGACCCACGGCTCCTGGGCCAGGAGACCACTGA